GATCCAGAATAGGAGTGCTTGAGGTTGCTTCCAATTTTCGGCTGAGCTGATTTGGTGAATGGAATAGTAAACCAGTTCACAACTCATGCATCTCAAGTTTTCATTTGAGTAGATTTAAGTTATATTTGTTAATGTATTTGAGTTTGTGTGGCTGCTTGTTGAAATTGAGTTTAAAATTTGCTATATTGTGTTCGGCTAGTTATATTTGATTTTGTGATTGTGTTATGTTTTGAAACCCGGTTGTTTATGTGAAAATTTATGGTTAGGGGGTTGCCTTGCTATGGCCGAATGCAAGAGGAGATCTGGCCAAAATAAACATGAGATGGAAGTGATTTATTTTGTTGCATGTGACTCTTATTCATGATTTATTTGGGTTTTCAATTGTTTTGTATGTTGGCTGCTTGTTGGATATATGAGTTGCCTGGGTCATGAAGATATTAAGTGTGTTTCGGAATGAATTATAAGCTTGCATTTTTGGGTGACATTGCAATTGTTTGGTTTAAAATGTGTGACTATATGCTGTGTTATATATATGTGTAAGCAGAGTTTCTTGTATGAAGTTAAATGGTGTGTGAGACGAGATATTGAAGCTAAAATGTGTTTTGTAAAGGGGAGGTAAAAATTTGCTAATTGAAGAGGGAAGAAAATCTGCATTTTTTTTTTTTTTGTATGGGTAATATTTGCTGAACTGTTTTGCATGTCTCGGCTGGGCTGGAATCTTGGTGAGGAAAAATGCATTTTCTTAGTACTAGATATTAAGTTTGTCTCCCTTGCATGGTTTAAGTATTTGTAAAAGAAAATGGTTTTATATTTTTAATTAAATGTGGGTTGCTAGATTTTGGAGCAATTACATTATGGACTGTTGTTTGGGCTTGGCTAATGGAAGAGTAAAGGAGGGAGAATGATTAAAAATGGGTACACACTTTGGTAATGGGAAGCGGTAGTTGGGTTGATGCATTGTGTTGGTCATAACCTTGTTTATTTATCATGGGCACTTTATACATATATATTAGTTTATAACTTTGTCATAATAAAGTTACCTTATGAGAATTAGTGTGTTGACGGCTGGAAAAATTGTTGAAAAATTAGTGAACTTGTGATGTTGAATTAATGGGTGGAGTCGGTGTCGGTCAAGTGTAGTGAGTTGCAATGTTGAAGAAATTCAGAATTTGGACTAAATGGTCAATTCTGAAATGTATTTGGAAATTTGTAGTTTCACCCCTAGATGTGATTTTTGAATATTATGTCATATATGCATGATTTATAAGCAAATATGTGATATGTTCTTGACTTTTATGTTACTTGAAATTATCATGAGATGCATGATTTTTGCATTTTAATTCTCAACGCATCAAATTACTTAATTATCTTTCCAAACCATGTTAATTAAATGAATATTTCATTTATATTAAAAACATGTTATTGCTCATTGTTTTGCCCGAAATTTGAGAAGAGTGGAAATACATTGAGAAATGTTGTGAGACTATGTTTGAATTAATGTGACTATTTGTTAAATGTTGCCTTAAAAATGTTGATGAATTCACATTAGAAGAAGTTTTATTGTTACTAAATGCGGGAAGTGTTGTTTGCAATGGGTGGAGATGCATTTTGATGTCGATGACAAGTAGTTGAAATGAGAAATGAAAAATGTGTCGAAATTGTTGGTTTTTGAGAAACATTATGAAATAACATGTTTACCCATTTTCATTGTATAGAGTATTAGGATTTTTTTCAAGTATGCCTTCTATAAAGAAAAGCTTAAGTTTTTTGAAGTTACATACTTACCCATTTACATTGCATCAAGTATTATGATTTTTAAGCATGCCTTTTTATAAAGAAGAAAAGCATAAGTTTTATGAGAAAAGAGAGGATTGAGAAAGTAAAGATAAAAGTGATTTTCAAACCACCCTACATAGTACCTATCCCCTCTTCATATTATGTGATGACTTTGCGCATGCGTATGATTGGTCATTTGCCAGCCTAAGTGCGTCGAAGGCCCGAGCGAGGCAAATATCACTACACATGATTTGATTTTGCCAACCCAAATGGGTCGAAGGCTCGAGCGAGGCAGATATCGTTACACAGAATTTGATTTTGCAGGCCCAAGGGCCTCGAAGGCCCGAGCGAGGCAAATATTGTTACACATGATTTGATTTTGCCAGGTGAAGTGAGTCGAAGGCCCGAGTGAGGTAGATATTGGTAGACATGATTTGATTGTGTCGGCCTGAGCGATGCATGATCTCGTGGGTTGAAGGCTTAAGCGGTGACCGATTCTGCCTAGTAGGATGGATCTAGTGGTTCAATCTGCGCGATGTTAGATGCTGCCGGGTTGGATGGATTTACCCTTGGATACTAGTTGGGTGAGAGTTTTCAATGATTAGTATCATAATCTATTTTTCAGTTAAGAATCAAAAAACAGTTTTCCGTTTTCAGTATTTAATGGTAAAGTAGTATTCAGCTAAAAGTTTTTCAGTAGCAGTAAAATCTATAGTATTCAGTTTAAAGTTCAATTATCAATATAAAGTTTTCAGTATTTAAAGATCAGAATCAGTGCATAGTTTTTCAGAAATCAGTTTTATGTTTCATATCATCAACATAATTATCAATAATTAATACTAGTCTTATGAGACTAATTCAAACATTTGAAATATGATTTTAGTAATGTTGTTTTTAAAGACATGAGAAATTTGAGATGCATGAGTGTTAATTTGCAAGCGTGAACATTGGTTATTTGTTTTAAAATGTTGTTCCAAAAACACTAAATAAGCACTCATTAAGTTATGATGTGGGTGTTTGCAGTATGATTTCTTTTTGTAGATTATCAAAACTAGGTTTAGTTTTTAGTATCAGAAAAATTATGGATCAATTGCATTTATCACAATTGCACGAAGTCCCTATTATGTGCATGACATTCATAAAGCATTATTTCTTTACAGAGATACATGATTGTTTGTGATGTTTTAAATGTTTGTAGCATGGCCTTTCAGAGTTATTAATTTTTAGAAAAATGTTTTAACTCCCCATCCCCCACTCACTGAATATTTCAGATCACCCTCTTTTAGAATGTTTTTCCCACAGGTTCACAGGAAGTTCGTGTTGAGGAGTTGATTCCTCTCGAGGTTGGGCCCACATGTCATTGTCTCATCATGTGTAAAATGTCATGTTTGTTTCGTAGCAGATTATGTTTTATTTCATATGTTTATCTTGTGTGATTGATTGTAATAGATATGAAAATCTGATATCTTGCTCTTCAGGTTTCAGAAAATGAATGTGCTATGTTTTCAAATATTCAAATACGTATATATTATATGTTATGTTTTTCATGACAAATCAAGAGAATGTTTTTATGAGAAGCATATTTAGAAAACAATTTTTTTTTTTTTTAATTATTATTTATGGGTTTCACAGTTTTCACATGGCATGTCTCGGTCACTCGAGTCTTATAAGTGCGTCTAGAGCCTATAGGATAGGGAGGGTCAAGGTGGGCCGTGTCACGCTAAGACTACACCCTCCTCCTTTACTTCCAAGAGAGTGCAGAGAGATGTGAGATCAATGGATTCATCATAAAACCAAAGTGATTGTTAAGACATGGGCAATTAGAAGAGATCCAAATTATAGGACCGATCCCGAGAGCTTCATTATTGAGGGGTTCTTTGATGGTTCTCCTGACTTTAACGGAACGAAACATGAATACCTCCCATTGGTTCTGGAAGGAGGGTAGGCTAAGGATCTTTGTTTGGACCGGGCAATGTTGAGCTTGTTTTCGCATTGTATCTTTATCATTTTGATTGGAAACTTCCTGAAGGAATGAAGCATGAAGATTTGGAAAGGAACTAGTCCTTTTGTGCCACTGTTAGAAGAAAAGATGATCTCTGCCTCAATCTGATTCCCGAATCAAAATCATCCATCGCCTGTCGCTGTTGCGTAGCCTCAAGTCAAAGTCTTTATGGAGTTGAATTCAGCCATAGCACTGCAATCAATAATGCATTTCAAATTGGTGTAAAACGGACGTGAAAATATTTATTTTATACCATCTATTTCAAATTTGTTAAAATACTTAAAATTTTCATTCATTTATTATGTTTTTGCACATCAGATCACCTTTTTCCTAGCTCACCTCACGGTTGTCATTTGTCAAATTTGCAGACCAAGACATACAAATACAGTCATGTTTGACGGTAGAATCAAGGGGTTGCAAGTTGGGGAGGTTGCACGATACTGAAGCTTTGCTGCTATTTCCAGGTATCTATATAAGTTAATGAAATACATGGAGTTCATTGACAAGCCAAAAATAGTACTGTGTCATTCCAATGGAGCTCATACCCCCCTCATTCTCAATTCTTCTCAACTTTCTTCTCTTTGTCTTCTTGGTTCTGAAAATAGGAAAAAGATTCAAAACCAACTATGCAAAAACTTCTAATCTACCCCCAGGGCCATGGAAATTTGCACCAGTTTGCAGCTGTTGGGGCTCTACCGCTTCGTGGACTAAGAGACTTGGCAAAGAAATATGGACCATTTATGCACCTTCAGCTTGGAGAAAATTCCACTATTGTTGTTTCTTCTCCAGAGTTTGCTGAACAAGTGATGAAAATCCATGACGTTACATTTGCATCAAGGCCTTACAATTTAGCAGCAACTATATTGTCTAATGATGTAGTTTTTTCGCCGTATGGTGATTACTGGACGGCGAAAAAACTAAGGAAAATTTGTACATTGAAGCTTTTGAGCTCGAAAAGAGTCCAATCATACCGATCTTTAAGAGAAGAAGAGATGTCTAATATCATCAATTCGATTGCTTCAAAAGCAGGATCAGTGGTTAACCTCACCGAGATAATTTTCTCATCAAGTATGGTATTACTTCAAGGGCAGCTTTTGGCAGAAACTGCAAAGACAAAGAATTGTTCATATCTGTTGTGGAGGAAAGTTAAAAGTTGCTGACAGGTTTTAACATTGCGGTTCTGTTTCCTTAAGTCAAATTTCAGACAATAACCGATTGGGCCATGCGTGAGATGCTCAGAAAACCAACACTCATGAAAAAGGCACAAGCTGAGGTGAGGGAAGTGTTTAATAGAAGAAGGAAAATTGATGAAACCGCCATTGAAGAAATGAAATTCTTGAAGCTAATTATAAAAGAGACTCTGAGATTACATCCGCCTCCTTTACTTCCAAGAGAGAGTTCAGAGAAATACGAGATCAATGGATACATCATACCTGCCAAAACCAAAGTGATTGTTAACACATGGGCAATTAATAGAGAACCAAACTATTGGACTGACCCGGAGAGCTTTATTCCAGAGAGGTTCCTTGATGGTTCTCTTGACTTTAAAGGAGCAAAATTTGAACACCTCCCATTTGGTTCTGGAAGGAGGATGTGCCCAGGATCTATATTTGGTCTGGCCAATGTTGAGCTTGCTCTCGCAATGTATCTTTATCATTTTGATTGGAAACTTCCTGATGGAATGAAGCCTGAAGATTTGGACATGAGCGAGTCCTTTTGTGTTACAGTTAGAAGAAAAGATCATCTCTGCCTCATTCCCATTCCTTATCATCCATCACTTGTTGCTGTTGCATAGCCTCAAATCGTAGTCTTTACGGAGTTGAATCAGCCATGAGCACTGCACATTTTAAATTATTTGGTATATATTTACTAAAGAGTGATATTACATATATAATATTTTTATATAATATTTTTCATCCAATCTGATGTGATAAAAGACGATGTGAAAATTTATTTTTTAATTTAAAATCAATCAATAATCTTTTGCTACATTAAATTGTATAAATATATTGTATATGTAGTATTATGTTTTATTAAAAGTATGGTTGAGAGGAACTCCTGGACTTTATATATGTCTCCACGCGAATATAAATATTGCACTTGTCAAAGTTAGAATGTGGGCTATCGTGAAATTTGCATTTCAAAGATTTGCTATATATAATATGAAATGGCTATGTATTTAATATCCAATCTCCTAGTATCGTGATTTGATAATTTGGCATGCAAAAATTGAAAGAATTAATATAATTCAATCCCTTACTAAAGACATAGTTTTGACTTCCATTAACTCCACAAACATATGCATAAAATTAGTGGATATAGAGCTACTCTTTTGAAGAGGCACAAGGTTTGTGAGCAATAAGGCAATTTGGTCTTTAAACTTAAGAGCCTTCCTGAAGCCATCGTAATCATCCTTTGTAGAAAACATGAATTACACGCAAATAATTAGCAACTCGCTCAAGCAAAGGCATTGATACAATATTTGGTTTGAGTATTTCCTTCTTCACACCTTTCCATGTGTTGCAACTTGTTCCTGAACCACTTTAACTGCCTCTTCTATATAAACACCATGCTGCTTCATATAGCATTAAACAGTTGAGGCAAAGGCAATACCTCTCTAGATAGATCTAACGATATAGATTCATATTTTGGAAGTGATTTTTAGCCCCGCCTAATTGATCTTCACCACTACTTTTAAATTTATTTTTTGTTTTGACAAATTTAACCTTATTTTTAATTACTAAAAATAATATTATAATTTCTAAATACACTTATGTTCTACTTATATATTTTTTTTTTAATTTTTAACATTTAACTTTTAATCTTAAATAAACCCTAGCCCTAATTTTCGTAACCTAATCCTAAATTTTCATAATCATTGAAACCTTTTATTTTATTTTAAATAATTGCTTGTTTGATGAAAATATAATACTAAAAATAGAGAAAATATAACGGAATGAATCTGAATTTGAAGAAGAGAAAATAAGTTGAAATTAGGAAATTAGAGGAAAAAAGATGTAAAGAAAAACCTAATTAAATTTGATTTGGGGAAAAAGGTATAAAATAAAGCACCTAATTAAGTTTGAAATAGGGAAAAATAAACCTAATTAAGTTGAAAAGGTTATTTTCCGTATTAAATAGGCTTTAAAGGGATTTTTTATTTTTATTATTATTATAGAAGAGGTGTGCTGAGTCATAGGGGTGAAAATCAATTTGATATGAGACTTAAAATCACTTCCCTTCATATTTTTAACCTAGTCAGATATAGGCCCAAATTGAGAGTTGAGGTCCATTTTGTTTGACTAACATGAGCAAGTGGAGCCAGGGCCCATACTAACCATAGCCTAAAGACAATCAAGATTTTGAATAAGCTCCTTTTTGTTATCGTTTTTCATTGCAACAACTATTAAAAAGCATTTTAAACAACATATATTTTGACTTTTTATATTTTTAAAATTGTGTTGTATGTGTTTGCTATAGTTTTGCAAAGTTTTGCAATAGACTTGTAGAAAGTTGCCAATATGTCTTCAAGGCATTTTAGACAACATATATTTATTTGGGAGACTATAACTCAGTCCCTGTCTAGAGACATATCATGGAGTACTACAAGTAATTTGTGGATGTATATGAAGCTACTCTTGAAGAGGCACAGGGTCCTTGAGCAATAAGACAACTTGGTCTTTAAGCTTATATGCCTCTGTGAAGGCATCATATCCATCCTTGTATAAAATATGAGCTACACGCGAATAATTAAGAACTCGCTCTAGTAGAGACATTGATATAACGGTTGGTTTTAGCATTTCCTCATTAACATCTGTCCATGCGTTGGCAACATGTTCCATAATTGCTTCAACTGCCTCTTCTTCAGAAACACCATGCTGCTTCATGTAGCATTCAACAGCTGAGGGAATATGTCCTCTCTTTTGCTCAAACTACACAACATATGCATATATGTTATAGATAATTTTTATTATTAGTTAGTTAAAATATATATATAAATAATATACATGTACATACCTTATGAGACCCTATATCACCCATGAGTCTGCCAATAAGCCTTGCTGCATTTATAATCTTAGGATTAGTGGAAATCCAATCAAAATCTTCCTCAGTTGCAATATCATCCATGCCAAGGAACGCAACTGATGTGATCAATTCGACTGCAGATGTTTCTGCTGCAAGACTTATATATTCCTCAAATGTTGGAATGTACCCTTCATTCAACCATTTGGCTTCAGAAAAGTAGCCTTGAACAATTCTTTGCAACTAATCAGGAAGCATATTAATATAAATAATTAAATATTCCATACGAACTTGAAGACTCAATGCTGAGAAAAAAATATTCGTGCAAGCAGTACTGTAAAGCAAAGGTAGATATCACCTACCCAAAATTTTGGAGAATTTATGTAGCATGGTTTTCCTTTCTTAACCACGTATTCCTCCATTTCACAGAAAAAAACTAAGAGTGTCTTGTAAATTAATTTCATGTAGTCTGGAAGCATATCTGTGGCGCCAAAGTCCCATCTGAAAATCAAATAACCATCTTCAATGAAAAATTAATGAAGCCTAAATCTGAAAATTGAATTATTGAATACAATTTCTAGATTTACTATGAAATTTGAAAAGGATTTATTTTAAGCTTTTTACATACTTTTTGACGGCTTCTGTAAACAGTGTGAGTTCTTCAATTGTACCATAGGAATCGTATGTATCGTCTATGAGGGTTAACAGACATATTAATTTGGCCATACTCCTAATACCAAATGCATATTGTGGCTCAAAAATAATTCCCAATGCCCAAAAATATTCCTCCACCATTCTTTGTCTCGCGTAAGACAGCTTTGAAATGAAGTCTACATTATTCCACCACCTGAAATACATCTTCAACTATATAACCAAAACAATGTATCTTAGCTATTAAAACATAGTTCTATATACAAAGAAGAACTTACTGTAAGACGTCTTTGAGATCCTTCTGGTACATTGCTTGTAACATGTTAAAGTCTAACTTGGCAAACTTTAACAAAGTTTTATTGTGTGAATCATCTCTTGAATAAACAGACATGAAAAATCTTGCCTCTAGCCTCGGTTGGCCTTTCCGGAGAGGACAATTAAGAGCATGATTTATTTGTTTTGCAAGGTGAGGGCTTGCACTAGACACCATTGACTTAAGGTGAGTGGTAGTAAAAGTGAGGGCTTCATCTAGAATATCTTCTCCGTGAATAGCAAAGTGTGCTGCCTCGTATAGATTTAGCATTCCAGGAACATCGTTAATCAAGGATGCCTTGAATTTCCCTTCATCATCTTTGAACTTTTCAAATACATCTGCTTAATTACAACCCCCCCAAAAAAAAATGTAACCTTCAATTAGACATATGTTTTATTTATTCGTTCAGTGCGCTTTAATTATAATAATTTTTAGCATAGCTTAAGATTTGAATTACTTACTACAAATAATCTTAATTCCTTGCTGTCGAAGAAGTCGAAAATGGATGGAAACAGTATAGAGATCATTATATTCAATATTGTCACTATAAATTTTCTCCAAAGCATCATCTATCTCTTCTGGAAAGTGATAATCCACACCTAACCGTTGGATTGCATCAATCAAGTGTAATTTCTGAGCATGCGTTTGTGATGTATCCATTATCATCCATCTTACCTCTTGTTTCAGTTGCTCATAATCTTCTTGAGTTGTAGGATCAATTGTCTGCAAAAATAGAATTAAAAAAAAAAAAAAAAGCTAAATACGTTTATTGTGAAATCAACAATATTTTTGGGTAAAACGGTAATTATGAAATCAACAATATTTATGGCATGTAGCAATGATATATATTAAATCAGTATGCCTTTTAAAAAAAAATAAAAATAAAAATAACGTGTTTATAATGTCTCAGACAAATGTTTGCATATAGAACATGCATCTTTATTTCATTTTTTCTTTCTGGTAATCAATTGGAGAAAAATACCCTTTATTTGTCAATTGACATTGCATAAAATGGTGCGAAATACATCATTCTCGAAAGTACTCGGAACACATATTAGATAATTTTGTGCTTGAATGTGGTAATTATGTTTTGGTAAAAGAAAAGAATGCATATATAATTACACAAATTATGTAGTATATAAGTCGCATTCATTTTACTTCTGTGATGTGCATTCATAGGGTGGGTGCATCTAGAAATTTAATCTCATATAGAGTGTGTACGTGTAATTACCTTGAGTTCAGAAGTATCTTTGAGGAATTGATCTCCCCATATTGTGGGATGGAAATCAGCAGTATGACGAATAGTTTTTGGTGGTGAAGTTGGAACACCTGTAACTTGAGAAGACGACATTTCTTCTTTGACCAAATCCCGAATGTTGTACTTGTGAGTTTCTTCTTCATTATGAGCATACTCTTATATAGGACAGCAGCCCCAATATGAGGAGGCTGTTTTTAAATTTAAAAATCGTGAAAATTAATTAAAATTAGTTCTTCTTCATGTTTCTAGCACTTCCACAGTAGGACGTGGCATCTCTCTCCAGAATGATTATCAATTACCATCCAGACTACTGTTTTGGCTCTTACGTGAGCTATTACTAATAAGGTTATCCCCCAATTTCAACCCTTGGTCAAGATCTAAGGGCCCTGGTGAACCGTTGGATCAAACTCCTAGGGCTGATACTGGAGTAATCTTATCAACTGTAAGTTAGCGGTTTCATTAATGTAAGATGCTAGTATTTAATAAATGATCATTTCGAGTTTAATTAAAAAAGAGTATAATGTTAACATCAATCCCATGATTAACAGTGGTTTATAATATTGCTTCATCATCATTAAAGAAATTATTCCAGATATTATATTTAAATACTTTAACTAATAAAATATCATTAATTACTTGTCATTTTACACTCTTTAATCCACATATAAAGAACTCAGGATAGACTTAATAAATTAATAAGCATGCTGTCAATTTTTTTTTAATAATTACTGTATGTACGCAATAAAATTTATACAAAGTAGTACTGGTTAATTCAATTTCATAACAAATTAAGATTTGTTTTGATAGATTTACCTGATCATCTTAAACACGATATTCTTGATAATCTTGACTAATATTTTTTTTAGCATGTCTTATCCATGCACGTATATTGAAGAAAAATTTATTGGTGGATGTTGAAGGGAGCCATGTGCACATCACGTTTATTTTTTACATATTTATTTCATCATGAAATTTGTGTTAAACTTTTCTATTCCAATTACTAATGATTGGTTTACAATAGGGAAATTCATCATCAAAAAATTGGAAGCTGGCATCTAGGGGTTGTGAGAGAGAGTGTAAAATTGGGTTGTAACTTGTAAGTGTAGTATTATCCTTTATTTTATAATACAAAGTTGTTTTTATAATTGATCTACATCATACTTTTACTATCGATTATAAATGAAATAAACAATATTTTTTATTCATACCGTTTTTAATGCAATGTTTAGTGATTGTTTCAAGAAAGTACAAATAATAATCAAAAAATTTAAAAGCATCAAACTAACTTATATAGTTAAAGAGCTTTAGATGAAGAAAAAGGTGAAACACTCTAAAGAGTATTCGAAACCAACAAGTGAACAAAATAACCTAAATAGTAGAGAAAAAGTACACGCACAATTCACCATAGTTCACCTAAAAAAGGGGCTAGGTCCAACAGAGTCGATATTATTGAAATATCTCTTTATCTCTCTTGTTACAATGAACGTATTTGTCTATGATTTGCTATATCATTCATACAAGAGAATAATATGTTTATATACTAGGTTTAATGAGAAAAATCTAATATAACTAAGATCTCTATTTTTAAGCACAAACCCTATTAAGAATTTAATTACTTAAAGAAATCTTATAACAGCTCTTCATGGGATAGGCCCAAATCACCTACGAGCTTGGGGGTGTTGCTCCCTACCCCCCACCCGTTCATCGGGGAGCAGGATCCCTGTGTGCAGACACGTAGCCACATACACAATTGTGGGTTCAATTGAACCTAGACAACTTTTGGAAAAAAATAAACAGTCCTTATATATTATGGAATTTACAATTTTGACCCCACAAAAATTTGAATTATTAACACTTTTTTGCCTTTTCTCTCTTTTTTTCATTTCTTCTTCTTCTCTCTCATACTTTCTTCTTCCTTTGATTGAATTACTCGAGCAAGACTATTCTTTTGGAGGTTACAAGGTAAGATGCTCATATTTTTTTTTAACTTAAAAATCTTTTCTTTTAGCTTTCTTAATTGATGAAAGATAATGAGATATGAGTTTTTGTTGAGTTTAATAAATGTGTTTGAAATTGGAAGATTAAATTCCTAAATATTGATGTGGGTTTTGATTTAATCTTGTTTATATTAAGGTATATGTTAATTAATTGTTGTTTTAAATTAGGTTTGATAAAATTTGAATGGTTTTAAAGAATTGATGAAACCCTAAGTTGTAGAGATTTGGTTTAATTTTAATATATTGGTTAATTGCTTGAAATTTAGAGTTGGATTTGATGAGTTTTCATTGGTTTATGAGTTGAATTTTATTGAGTTAGTAGAATTTTTTTGAAAAACCTAATTTATAAGATTTGGGGGTTTTTTATTTTTTTTGCTTTCTTAATTGATGAAAAATCAACAATAGGTTTTTGTTGAGTTGTTAATTTATCAACTTAGATGTTTTGAACACACTCACTAAAAATCTTGACTACGTCATTGCCCGTGTGCATCGGGCAAACAAGCTACAACCTTGAACTAACTAGCTCGCGTTAACGAACTATGACCTCAAGCTACGATCTCAATTGTTGAAGTGGTCCCCAACGCCGAAAAAAAGTGAAGAATTTTTTTTGATGAACATATTTTTGTTTCATAAATTCATCTCCTTTGTTTAACTATAGAATTAATTAGGCTTTATAATTGAATAAGAAAATAAAAAATTTAGATTAATAGCACATGGGTTTATCATAGGTGGAGTGCAGGTATAACTCTTTTATTTATTTTTAGTAATTTATATATGGGATCAAATTGGCATTGAGAAAAATAAAAATAAAACAGTAGGATTATGAGAGGTAATATCATTACTCCAAAAAATACAAAGTATGAGTACAACGATAATATTTATTGTTTAATGTCCATAGGGCGCGTCATCTAGTATGTCTTTTGAATAGCAAAATATGTTGATTCATACAGAATTAGCATTCTTTAACATCATTAATCAAGGATGCCTGAACCTTTCTTCACCATTTTTAACTTTTCAAGTACATATACTTAATACGATTAAAAAAAAAAAACCAACAAAAAAAAAAAAAAAAAAAAAAAAAACACTAAAGCAAGTTTTAATTAGACATATTTATATATATTTTTTATTATTTTAATGCATATTAATTCTAGTAATTTAATTTAATTTATTTCCTTAAAAAGTAAATTTCTTAATTTAAGAAATTTGATAGAAAACTAAATTTATATTAATACATGGAATCGTTCACCAAACAAGTTGTTACATTCTGTTTAGTAATAGAGATTATATTATATTATTCAATACCATCCAATATTGTGGCATACAAACCAGTGGCGGATTCAGGATTTTTGCCGAGGGAGAGCCTCCCCAGCTCCGCCATTGATTGTCAAATAACTAGTGAAAACTTTAAAAAATCACCAAATCTTTAGTAAAAAAAAAAAAATAATAATGCAATATCAAGAACCTGAGAGAAAAGAATGCAATAACACAATACTTTCCTATTTGAATAAATCAATGAGAAGCAAAATTTTGATAAATATGTTGACTAAACCTTGAGCAAAACCTTCTTTATTTATTTATTTATTTTTTTATTTTTGGCTTTTAAAGATTATAATATAAATTTTCATGACTTTGATCAGACCTAGCCTAAGCTAAAGTCAACGAAAACTTAAATCAAGTCAACGTTGCGTTGACTTTTAATATGAATTAATTGAAAAAAATGGGGAATTTTCTTGATATAAATATAGATAATGTAAACTGCAGCAAGTTTCAGATTAAGCAGCTAAAGATTTCAGTTCCTGGATATCAGCACTTTCTGCATTTCTCTCAAACAAACTGCAAGTGGATCAAAATCAGTTGAACAAGTTGGCAAGTTGCGGCTGATATTGTTGTGCAAGTTGACAAGGTTGTTACTCATTTGTTATGCAAGCTGATAGGTTGTTATCCATTAGTTATGCAAGTTGACAAGTTGCCATGCAACTTGCATCAACGTAAACAAATCCAATGGTTAAAGTAAAACTTTGTAACATAGAATGTTCGGCTGAGATTCCAAAAAACAGGGACATCATCTAACTTGCTTTCTTTATAAATTGTAGACGTAAAAGATAGATTGTATTCAGAAAAATCAGTAGGAAATAAATGCTTTAGTACTGATTCTGTTACTCTCTGTTTTACAGTCTTTATACTATGTTTTTTTTCTTCCTTTTTCTTTAGTACGTTTCTCAGATAATAACTCAAATTTCTTTAATAATTTTGAGCAATTGGACGATGACATTTGAAATATAGGAAAGTGGTGGGTGAAGGGTGAAGAATAATATCCTTTAAAATATAGTTAAGGTTTTAATTTAGGAAAACAGAGTCATTCTTAAACACAAAACACAAAATAAACTCACAAGATCCATATCTTTTTCTCTCAAATTAGAATAAAAAACCTCCCAAAAAAAAAAAAAAAAAAAAAGAATAATTCAACCTTAAAATAAACTAAATTGAAATGAGCAATACACATACATAAAACTGATAAAACAGAAAACGAAACTAATTGTAGCACCTTAAGTAGTGAAAGTTTCAACAATTTCAATCTTCAAAAGTTTTAAGAGCGAATAGCATGAGAGAAAGAATGAGTGAATGTGAAAGGAAAGAATTTTGCGGATAAAATCATAAAAAACATATTGAGCAGTGGAGAAAAAGAATAGAGAAAGTTTTAAACTTTTAATATGACATGGGCTTAGAATATCATAAATTAATAATAAATTTTGTGTGGACGTAGATATATGTATAATAGTTCTCATTTTTAAAAATATGAACGTGACCTGAGTATATATATTAATAACAATTTTTTGTGGGTCACTATATTAATAATTTTTTTAAAAACTTTTCTTGATATTTCGATAGATGAACAGTGTTACAAAAGTAAGCTTTAATAGCTGATTATTAAACACAAAAACGACAACACTTTGGGCTTTATGAAAACGTCACCGTTTCACAATTTGTCTGACAAGCTAAACTCTACTACTTACATTTTTGGCTTGACCATGTTTGTCCAACGGCCTCTGTCAAGCTAAACTTTACTACTTACATTTTTGGCTTGACCATGTTTGTCCAACACCCCCTGTCAAGCTAATCT